TGTGACACCCCTCAGGACCCTCTGGGGACCTGTGCCACCCCTCAGCAACCCTTGGGGACCATGGGTGACCCATGCCACCCATCTGCACCCGGTGACACCCAGTGCCACCCAGTGGTGCCCGTTGGACCCCAGTGGTGCCTGTCAGTGCCCATCAGAGCCCAGTGGTGACCAGTGGTGCCCAGTGAGACTCATTGGTGCCTAGCAGTGCCCAATAGTGCCCAGTGGTGCCCAGTGGTGCCCAGTGACCCTCACTGGTGCCCAGCAGTGCCCAGTAGAGCCCAGTGGTGCCCAGTGACCCTCACTGGTGCCCAGTGGTGCCCAGTGACCCTCACTGGTGCCCATTAATGCCCAGCAGTGCCCAGTGACACCCGAGGTGTCCGCTGGCCCCATGTCCCCCCCATGTGCCCCCCATGCCCCCCCCGTGCCCACCTGCAGTCGCTGCAGGTCCGCTGGCACTCCTTGCGCTGGTAGCGGGCGATCAGTGCCCAGATGAGCAGCCCCAGGAGGCTGAGGAGGAGGAGGGAGCCCAGGATGGAGCCCACGATGATGCCAGCCTGGCGTCCGCCTGCCGCGCCACCACAGCCTGTCACCGCCGGCCTCGCCGGCTGCCCACGGCCACCCGGGCACCCCGGGGCACCCCCGGGGCACCAGGGACACCCCCGGGGCACCGGGGACACCCCAGTGCCACCCTGAGATACCCCAGTGCCACCCTGAGACACCCCCAGGGCACCGGGGACACCCTCAGTACCACCCTGGGACACCCCAGTGTCACCCTGGGACATCCCAATGCCACCCTGAGACACCTGTAGGGCACCAGGGACACCCCAGTGCCACCCTGAGACACCCCAGTGCCACCCTGAGACATCCCCGGGGCACCAGGGACACCTCAGTGCCACCCTGAGACACCCCTGGTGGCACCGGGGGGACACCCCAAGTGCCACTTGACACCCATAGACACCCCCCAGTGAGTGGCACCCAGAGACAGGACAAGTGCCACCCCAGCCCCAGAGACCCCCTGGTGCCACCCTGTGCCAGCCCTGGTGTCCCCCCGTGTCCCCTCCATGTCCCTTGTCCCCCTTGGTGGCACTCATGGGGCTGAGGGTGAGCTGGAACACCAAGTACCCCCCGTGTCCCCCCGTGTCCCCCCCCATGTCCCCCCATGTCCCCCCATGTCCCCCCCGTGTCCCTTGTCCCCCTGGTGGCACTCACGGGGCCTGGGGCTGAGGGTGAGCTGGCACACCGAGTACCCGACGCGGTTGGTGACCCGGCACTGGTAGGTGCCCGCGTGGACCTGGGTCACGCTGCGGATCAGGAGGTCACCCGGGGCACGGCCTGGAGGGGGGGACACACACACGGGTGACACTGTCACCTCGGGGGCACCCGAGGACACGGCATGTGGGGACAGGGGGACACGGGGACAGGGGATGGGGGGACAGGGGACACACAGGGATGGGGGACACACAGGGACATGGGGACATGCAGGGACAGGGGACACGGGGACAGGGGGACATGGATGCACAGGGACAGGGGGACAGGGGACATAGGGACAGGAGACACGGGGACAGGGGACACAGGGACAGGGGGACATGGATGCACAGGGACATAGGGACACATGGGGACACAGAGGGACACAGGGACAGGGGGACATGGACACAGGGACACGGGATATAGGGACATGGGGACACAGGGGGACACAGGGACATGGGGACACAGGAGACGGGACAGGGGGACAGGGGGACATGGGGACATGGGAACAGGGGGACACGGGGACACAGGGACACAGGGAGAGGGGGACACGGGGATATGAGGACACAGGGACATGGGAACATGGGGACACACAGGGACAGGGGGACACAGGGACACGGGACAGGGGGACATGGGGACACAGGGACATGGGGACAGGGGGACATGGGGACATGGGGACACGGGGACACAGGGACAGGAGGACATGGGGACACAGGGACAGAGGGACATGGGGACATGGGGACATGGGGACATGGGGACACAGGGACAGGGGGACACCCACCTACCTGAAGGCACTGGGACATGGGAGCACACGGATGTTGGAGCACAGGGACACGGATGCCCGGGCACACACACGGGCGACGGGGACATGGGGACAGAGACAGGGTCACCCACGGACACGGGGACATGGGGACACTCGGATGTGGGTGACAGGGACATGGGGACACAGGGATGTGGGAACATGGACACACACAGACATGGACACAGGGACATGGGAGCACAGGGATTGGGAGCACAGGGACAGGGGAACACACGGATGTGGGAACACACAAAACACACGGATGTGGGAACAGGGACACGCAGAGACACGGACACACACGAACAAGGGAGCACAAGGACATGGGAACACACGGATGTGGGAACACACGGACACGGACACACACGGACACGGGAGCACAGGGATGTGGGAGCACAGGGACATGGGAGCACAGGGATGTGGGAACACACGGATGTGGGAACACACGGACACACACGGACACGGGAGCACAGGGATGTGGGAGCACAGGGACATGGGAGCACAGGGATGTGGGAGCACAAGGAACACACAGCCCCCACCTACCTGTGTGCACCCCCCCACATGCACCCCCTGCCAGGGACCCCCAAACCTCCCCAGGAGGGTCCCTCACCCACCTTGGATGGAGCCCAAGAGCAGGGACCCCCCCAAACCTCCCCTGAGCCCCCCAGGGGGGTCTCGCAACCATCTTGGATGGTGCCCGAGGGCAAGGACCTCCCAAACCTCCCCTAAGCCCCCCAGGGGGGTCCCTCACCCACCTTGGATGGTGCCCGAGAGCAGGGACCCCCCAAACCCCCCCGAGGGGTCCCACACCCACCTTGGATGGTGCCCGAGGGCAGGGACCCCCCAAACTCCCCCGAGGGGGTCTCTCACCCACCTTGGATGGTGCCCGAGGGCAAGGACCTCCCAAAATCCCCCGGGGGGGTCCCTCACTCATCTGGGACGGTGCCCGAGGGCAGAGACCCCCCAAAACCCCCCGAGGGGGTCCCACACCCACCTTGGATGGTGCCCGAGGGCAGGCGGCCCCCCCCGTAGCCCTCGGCCAGCTTTGCCCACTGGTATGCCAGGGGGGAGGTGCCCCCCCGGCTGTAGCAGCGCAGCAGCACCGACCCCCCCTCGATGAGCTCCCCCTCACTCCAGCACTGCGGGACCGCCGGCTTCTCTGCTGGGAGAGAGACGGTCAGCATGGGCACGGGGACAGGGACAGGGGACACTGGCAGGGACAGGGGAGAGGGACAAGGGACTGGGACACGGACAGGGACAGAAGACGAGGACGGGGACGGGGTCGGGGACAGGGTTGGGGACAGGGGGCAGTGGGACGGGTCAGGGACACCATCAGGGACACCCAGGGGGACGGGGGACACTGTCAGGGACAGGGGACAGGGACAGGGACAGGGGACGGGAACAGGGATGGGGACAGGGGACAGTGGGAGGGGTCAGGGACACCATCAGGGCCACCTCAGAACGGGACAGGGGACACCCGGGAGGGTGACAAGGGACACTGGGGACAGGGGACCCTGTTAGGGCCACCGGGAGCCACCTCGGAGCGGGACAAGAGACACTCGGGAGGGGACAACGGCCGCTGCCAGTGCCACCAGCGGTCACCCGTGAGGGGGACAGGGGACACTCGGGACAGGGGACACTGTCAGGGCCACCGGGGGCCACCTCGGAGCGGGACAAGAGACACTCGGGAGGGGACAACGGCCACTGCCAGTGCCACCAGCGCCACCAGCGGTCACCCGCGGCGGGCGGGGAGGGACAGGGGACACTCCGGGCTGTGTCTCCTCTCACCTTGCACGGTGACAATGACCTCGTGCACGGCCACCGTGTTCTTCTTGACGCGGCACTGGTAGGTGCCGGTGTCGGAGACGCGCAGGTCGGCGAGGCGGATGGACGCGTCCTGCTGGCCCGGGTCCGACTGCACGAAGGCCACGCGGTCCCGCAGCCCCGAGCCGCCGCCGTAGTTCACGTGGTGGTCCTGGTACGACAGGAACTGCGCGGGGACAGACGGGCACGGTGGGCACGGGGGGGACACTGGGAGGGGGGCGCACGGGGGGAGGATGCGGTACCTGCCTGTCCCTGCCCGTCCCTGCCTGTCCCCGCCTCTACCTGGTTGTCCCTGGCTGTGACTGTCCCTGGCTGGTCCTTCCCTGCCCTGCCTATGCCTGCCTGTCCCTGCTCCCTCCCTGTGCCTCCTCCCTCCCTGTCCTGCCCATCCCTGCCTGTCCCTGCCTGTCCCTGCCTCTACCTGGTTGTTCCTGGCTGTGACTGTCCCTGGCTGGTCCTTCCCTGTGCCTCCTATCCCTGCCTGTCCTTGTTTCTTCCTGTCTGGTCCTTCCCTGCTCTGCCTGTCCCTGCCTGTCCCTGCCTGTCCTGCCTGGTCCTTCCCAGCCTGGCATTTCCAGACCCTGCCTGGTCCTGTCCCATCCCTGCCCTGCCAGACCTTCCCTGCCTTGCCTGTCCTGCCAGACGCTGCCTGTCCTGCCTGCTCAGCTGGGCTCCACCCCATCCCATCCCATCCCATCCCATCCCAACCATCCCAGCCCTGCCTGTCCTGCCTGTCCTTCCCTGTCCCCCCAGACCTTCCCTGTCCTGCCTGTCCTGCTTGTCCTGCCTGTCCTGCCTGCTCAGCTTGGCTCCATCCCACCCCAGCCCAGCCCTGCCTGTCCTGCCAGACCCTGCCTGGCCCTCACCTGCCATTCCCAGAACTTCCAGCCCCTGCCTGCTCCTTCCCTGCCCCTGCCTGTGTCTGCCTGTCCCTGCCTGGTCCTTCTTCCCCGTCCTGCCTGTCCCTGCCTGTCCTTCCCCGCCCTGCCAGACCTTCCCCGTCCTGCCTGTCCCTGTCTGTCCTGCCTGCTCCTTCCCAGGCCAGCACTCCCAGACTCTCCCTGCTCCTTCCCTGCCCTTCCAGACCTTCCCTGCCTGTTCCTGCCTGCTCAGAGGGGCACCCCCCACCCCTCCAACGCCCCCCCAGCCCCTCCCCCTGTGCCCGGCGCCCTCCCTCACCACTTTCTCGGGGCCGGGCTGCTCGGGGGTGATCTGGATCCACTCGATGCCCACGCCCTGGGGGCCGTTGTCCTCGGGCTCCAGGACGTAGGGACAGCCCAGCTTCACCGAGTCTCCCTGGGCCAGGTAAAGCTCCTCCCGGCCCTGCCCGTGGATCCGGACGGCCCGCAGGAAACCTGGGGAGGGGGGCACGGCACAGCTGGCACCGCGAATCCGTGCCCCGGGGCACGCCAGCCCCACAGACAGCACCGCTGAGCCCACAGACAGTGATCCTACAGATAATGTGCCCTGATCCCACAGACAGCACCTCTGATCCCACAGTGATCCCATAGACAGTGTGCCCTGATCCCACAGACAGCATCTCTGATCCCACAAACAGTGATCCCACAAACAGTGTGCCCTGATCCCACAGACAGTGATCCCACAGACAGTGATCCCACAGACAGTGTGCCCTGATCCCACAGACAGCACCTCTGATCCCACAAACAGTGATCCCACAGACAGTGTGCCCTGATCCCACAAACAGTGTACCCTGATCCCACAAACAGTGATCCCACAGACAGTGATCCCATAGATAGTGTGCCCTGATCCCACAGACAGTGATCCCACAGACAGTGCGACCTGATCCCACAGACAGCACCCCTGATCCCACAAACAGTGTACCCTGATCCCACAAACAGTGATCCCACAGACAGTGCGCCCCAATCCCACAGACAGCACCTCTGACCTCGCAAACAGCACCTCTGATCCCACAGACAGTGTGCCCTGATCCCATACCCAGCACCTGTGATCCCACAGACGGAACCTCTGACCCCACAGACGGAACCTCTGACCCTGCAGACAGTGTGCCCTGAGCCCACAAACAGCACTCCTGATCCCACAGACAGTACCCCTGATCCCATAGACAGAACCTCTGACCCTACAGACAGCACCTCTGACCCCACAGACAGCACCATCCAACCCCATGTCCTGCAGCACCCAAAACGTGGGGGGGCTGCGATGGGGTAGGGATGGGGCTGGGACCCATCACACCCCAAACCTGTGCCCTGACACATCTTGAACCCCAAACCAGCAGCCCCCAAAGTGTGGGGAGCAGGGATGGAGACAGGAATGGGACAGGGACCCATCACACCCAAACCTGTGCCCTGATCCCAAACACGCAGCATCCAAACTGTGGGAAGCAGACACAGGGATGGGGCAGAGACCCATCACACCCCAAACCTGTAACATGACACACCTGGAGCCCCAAATCCTGCAGCCCCCAATCTGTGGGGAGCAGGGACACATCACACCCCAAACTGTGCCCAAACCTGTGCCCTGACACACCTGGAACCCCAAACCTGCAGCCCCCAACTTGTGGGGAGCAGGGATGGGGACAGGAATGGGGCTGGGACCCATCACACCCCAAACCTGTGCCCTGACACACCTGGAACCCCAAATCTTCAGCACTCAAACTGTGGGGAGCAGGGACGGGGACAGGAATGGGACAGGGACCCATCGCACCCCAAACCTGTACCTTGGTCCCAAACCTGCAGCCCCCAAACTGTGGGGAGCAGGGATGGGGACAGG